CCCCCCCCGCCGGCACAATGCAGTCTCTCGGCGGCGGGGGCCCCGTGTGCTGGATCAAATCCCGCGAGCTGGCCTTCTCCTTCGGTCGCACGGCCCTTGGCCCGGCTCTCATGAGCGAGCAGGACGGCTTCGAGTCGACCTCCAACTTCGCCAGCCAGGAAGAGTACGTCCCCGCTCCCCTGCCCCTTCGCCGGCTGTTTGCTGTGGTCATGTTTGCGTGCTCACAAACTGTGCCATTCCCCCCCTCCCCGCCCCGTGCCCCGGTCAGTCTGCCGCCCGTGCCAAAGATCCTCCAGCAGTCGCCAGACCTGCTGGTCCAGCTGCAGCCGGTCCCCACATCGCCAGCTACCCCGGACGCCTTCAATCTCCTGTGTTGGGGCATTCGCGGTGGCCTTGGCGATGGGGCCCCGCCGAAGCATGCCTTCGCCCTGCAGCACCGCCGGGCCCTGTACCGGCCGAGTGCCGGCAAGCTGGACATCAGCCGGGTTCTTTGGTCGGCCGAGTCGCGCCTGTCGCCGAGCATGTTCTCCATCGGCCTCGGTGGCGGGGCTGTCGGCCTGGTGGCCCTGGCGTCGACGGGTGGCTGTCCCGACCGGCCGACGCTCTTCCCCAGCTCGGTGGTCCTGATGCGCTTTGACATTCCAACGGCCTTCCAGGTGTCGCCGTCGTTGTCGGCCGGGCCGCGGCCTGGGCCCCTGCTCCGGGCCCCGGGGCGTCCGGCTGGCCCCCGGCGCTTCGGCCCGGCGTCCGCGCTCTCGGTGACCGCCATCCTGTCGAGCCACATGTGCGTGCCCATGCCGGCCTGGCCCCCCTCCGCTCTGTCCCTCATCTGACCCTCCTTCTTCCTTTTCTCTTGGCTCGGGGCGTAGCGCGCCGGCTTCGGCCCTGTCTCTGGCATCGCCGCTGGCTGGGTCTGTCTCGGCGGCCGGGCGCATTGTCCTTTGGGGCGGCACCCCGCCCGCCCGGTCGACCAGCGGCCTGCAGGAGGGTCTGGCCATCTATCCGACCGGGTCCCTGCGGTTCATGGCCCCCGGGGCCGAGCGTGGCCCGGACCTGCTGTCCATCGTGCCGGACTCGGCGGGAAACCCGGTGGCCGTGACCTATGCCACGGCCAATCGCATGCGCATGGTGCCCCTGGCGCAGGGCGGCCCGGGTGGCTCGGTGTCCTACCAGTCGGTGGAGCCGGCCCCGGAGGCCGGATCCGATGACATGGCCAGCGGCCCGGCCGCCGGGCGCTTCATCAGCATCATCCCGGTGACGGTGCGCGACGACCCGACCACGGCCGGGGATGATTCCCCCCCGCCGGTCCTGTCCATGGGCTTGACGGTCACCGGGCGCCTGCACTTGGTGGGCCCGTGTCACTTTGCCGATGGGTCGACCACGGCCCTGCTCGGGCCATGGGCGGCCCCGGGCCCGGCACACCGCCGTGTGGGCCGGCCACTGCAGGCCGGGCTCATTTGGCTGGCCTCCGACCGGCTGGGGCTGCTCCATTACCGGGCGTCGGCCTGTTCGGTGGGTCGCCCGGCTACCGGGCTCGGGGGTGATGCCCTGGCCGGGACCCCGGCCCCGGCCGCCGTGGATCCGGAATCGACTCCCTCCTCGTCGCCGCCCTTCCCCCGGCGCTTGGTCTACGTGCTCACCGACACCGGGCTGCTGATCCTGTGGCGCTTGGTGCTCAATGCCGATGACAGCCGGCCGGATGACGACCTTCTGGTGGAGCTCCGCCCGGTGGGGGCCCTTTGTGTGGGGGACCTCCTGGCCACGCCGGCCGCGCCGGTCAGTTTGGCCCTGCGTCTGACCCCGGTCGAGCAGCTGGCCGACCAGGGGTGCGGAAGCGCGGCCCTACGCACCGAGGCCGCCGGGTCCGGGGCTTCGCCCCGGCTGGCGGTCTGGCGCTCGGACATGGGCGCCTGCGGTCCCGGGCTCCCTCATGGGCTGGTGCTGCACTTTGGCTTGTCATTGCCGCGCGTGGCCGGAGGAGCCAATGCCCATGTGGCCGAGGGTGGCTCGGCCGAGGCCCCGCTCGGCGACATGGATTTGGCCGCCTGGGTGGAATTCACCTTCCGCCTGCCGGACTCCTGTGCGTCGGTCACCTGCCGCCTGCCCTCGCCATGCTTCCTCCCCCCCCC